TTTTTTTTTTTTTGCATACAGGTATAACAGAATAGCTTTAGTGTAGTTGTTGTTTTAAATTTGAGTATGAACTTATACAAAATGCAGCAAGATATTTTAAAAAAAACAGTTTTGTTGATTAAAAAACACTATATCGGATTCATATCGGTATCGGCAGATATCCAAATTTATGATATCGGTATCGGTATCGGACATAAAAAAGTGGTATCGTGCCATCTCTAGTCAAAACTCACTGTCAAGTGGTATTGTCTCCATGTATCGGGGCAAGCCTGAGGAAAATCCAGAAAACAGAGAAGAAATGTTTTCTTCAAGCAACAACGAGGAAGACAAAGAACTGTTTGCAAGAAATAAAACAACACTTCATAAATTGAGCCCACACAATCATGAGGTTACAGAATCTGTCAACAAACAACTGTCCAATGTTTTCAACGCTTCCTTCAGCACAATAACACACTCTGCAACACCAACACTCAAAGGGGCCAGACCTGCGAACTCACATCAGAAAGGTGCCCTGTCATCCCGCAGCGCAGGCAGTGCTGGTTCCATACTGGAGGCAGATCACATGGCTTGAGCCCGTGTGAAGGCAGTCCACATCTACCACAGGGGCGACTTGGACATTTCCTTTGGATGTGACCTTGGATCCCACAAAGGACACATATAGGATATTTCTGTCAACACAAAGACAAAAAAACAACAAAAAAAGATTTTTAAAATGGTCCTGTTGAGGAACCTCTGCAGGTGTCCATGGAAACAGCACTGATGAGTGAGTTCATTTACCTTGCGGAAGGAGCAGCTTTTGGCAAGGTGTCCTGTCCTGTTGCATGCACGACAGAACAGGGAACAACCAGGCGAGAAATAACGGCTGGTCAGAGACTGATCCGCGCCACTCTAGATAAGATGATCCAGGAATAATCCAAGACAACACAGAGATTTTTAAAATTAGGTTAAACCATAATTTTGTCTCCATACTGCAAAATCAAAGGTACAGAAGCAATTTGTTGAAGTTATTTGACAGAAAAAAGAATGCTGTACTCATGAATATACATTGATTAGAGTGTAATTACATCTTCAAACACCGATGCCTTCCAAAACCCTTAAATCTCTTTTTCATTATGTCTTTCTTCTCCATCACTGCTCTCCCTCTGTTCCACCTGATCCTCTTCCTCCTCACCTCAAACCTACTTTCCTGACTTGAAATCAGAGCTCTAACACACAAAAGCATGCATAAAATGCTTATTTATTCCCAATGTTGTCACAATTGCTCCAGTCCAACAATTTTAGATCAATGTCAAAGAATGATTCACTAACACTGGCTAATTGCAGCTAACAGAGGTTAACAAAGGCTAATAGCAGCTAATAGAAGCTAACAGCAGCACTTACTTAGAAAAAAGTTCAGCATCTTCAAAAGCTCACCTCAGTGTTGCTGTCATTGGGTAGACGTGAGCTTCACTGACTCGTTGACTCATATTGGACTCATTTCACAACGTTTTACAGACTCCCCCAGATTAAATTAAAGTGGACACCCGGCATATTGACAGCTGAGGTAAACTGTGGACTGATAGGCTACACTCACTGCAGATGAGCTGCATTGAGTCGTCCTATAGTATTCATGAAAGCTGATAAAAATCAAAAGTCACCTCAAAAGTTACCTTGTCTTTCACAGATACAGCCCAGCTTTCTTTTACTGATTTTCGCACGTTGCCCTTCAAATCTGTGTTGGAGAGAAAGACCAGGGGGAACATTAATAAATACAACTAAATATTGTGTGCAATAAAATATCCAAATTTAAGCTGATCTCAGCATAGTTACTGAACAGAAACATAAGCACCTAAAAAAAGGGAATAAAAAGAAAAATAGGATTTTTCAAAGCTTGGTAATCTTTTCTAAGCATTCAGTCACGATAAAGCAGGAGCTCTAAAAAAATAATGAAGGGCACCTGACCTTTCTGAACTAACTATCACTTATGTGTAAAGAAAACCTAAAACTTTACTGCTCCAGTGGAGCCCCGAGCTGGTGAGTCAAATCAAAGTGGTTGTTCTGTGCAGCTCCCTGCTGTGAATATGATAATCTTCATCCAAAGCACCAAGCTAAGCAAACTGTCTCTGTATACACTTTTTAAATAAATTGCACTCCCACACATTTAGAAAAATAACTGTGCACTTACTGGGTCCATTTACTCTTTTTGGTTGAAATGCATTTACAGAGATGTGTTTTTAGTCATTTTTATTTTTCTTCATTTTTATCTCTATGCTGGAAGCTGGTACATCCACAAAAAAATAACTAAACTGTATCACCACAGCCCATTGTAGAAAACAGTACAGCTCATGGAAACATCAACAGTAGCATAATAAGTAAGCAGCATCTGTTTGTTGTTTGCACTAGCTGCATTTCAAAGCTGTTTTCTCTCTAATTAAATAATTATTAAAGTACATGTATTAAAGTCTTTCTTTTGATCGCCCGCATCCAGTTTTTTGTGAACCAATCCCCATACCAGTGAGCACAAGCATGTGATGACAGTTCGTGATTTCTTGGGCTCCCATTTTTGTTATCACCCCTTATTTTAATTTAAGTATTGATTACGCATGTAATTAATTGTGCATGGTTCAAAGACCTATTCATGCCACCAAATTTAGGTGTTTGATGACTTTTGCAGATCAAAATGGCTAAATGTTTCCCTGGGGTGGATTACTTTTCTTTGACCCTCATGTATTATATTCACTAGAATTTGTTGTTTTCCAGTTACAGTACCCTTGGATGTGATTTGGTGTACATTTCTCCAATTGTTAAAACACAGGCACAAAAAAACTTCAGATATTTTGCCAGAAATTTCTGAAACAAATTACCTTTCAACATAAAAAAAAAATTAATCTAAGCAAATCTCAAAATGAAAAATTGCTTTGTTAAACTAAACAAGGAGCATTTTAGAACAACAAGTTAGTACATAATTTTTACTGGATGTTTTTAGTTAATGCAATAATGTTTTTATATTTCTTGTAGTTTGCTTTATTTTGTTTGTTTGTTTTTTTGCTTGTGCTAGCATCGTTTCTGTCAGGTAACACTTCCAAAAGGTCCACTATGAGAATAAGTATGATTAATTTTAATGCTTCTATTCATTTACTTATTGCACGCATAGTATCGTGGGATTGTTTTGGTCTGTGGTATGTATTAGAATCAAATTAAACTGATCAATCAAATTAATACTGCACGGCCTCAGTAATCTTTTGGAATTACATTTTTCCATTTTCCACATATATATATATCAATAATATACATTAACCAGACAAAACTTCAAAGGTGAAGCCATACAGTAATATGTAATCTACATATAGTCACTGTGAATAACATCCATCCATCTGGATTAGCTGAGCTTTAACGCACATTACAAATAGGTAGTGGAATAATCGCATTTACTTTTATTTGTTTTGTTATTGCAGATTTTGGTTGGATATCACTCCTGTATTGCACTTACTTCTGACTTTTTGCTTTCATATTTAAACTCTGCAAAATCTTCCTCTCGCGCTTGCATTAGGACTACGGAAATAAAATGGCAGGAAACTATATTCTTAACCCAAAAGCTGACCAAGTCAAGTTTCACCTTCATCATCTAATTCCTCCCCGGAGCTGTTCCTGTAGCTCAGATTGAGCTGGATGTTTGAGTCCTCCACCTGTTCCTCCCCTTCCAGGATCATCCAGTCCTCTATGGGCTGATCCTCATCTTTATCGTCCCGTAGGTCATCACTAGAAGACACTTCCAGCTCAGCGTCCAGCAGAGCCCTTTTTCCTCCAGAGGAGAATGGAAAGACCAGGAGGAGCGGAGGGGAGCTTTCTCTGCTCTGCCGTGCAGCTTGTTTGCAGCTCATCGAACGTCTCATACACCCTCCTTCGTCTTCTGAACTGCTGGACCCCCGAATAAAGAACTCTTCGGAGCTCTCCTGCATATCATCAGCTTCATTTTCCTCAGCGTGCGCCATAATCAGACCTGACACAACCTGTAGCTGAACAGCGCCACTCACAGGCGACTGTCTTCACTGCCATCAGCGATAACTGATGGGTGTTTTACACGTTTTTATTAACGTCTTTTATCCGACCGAACTAAAACCGTTTTGGTTTAAACCGGGATAATTACCGCGCGGGTGTGCAAACATTAAAAAAACGTATTTTGTCGCGAGCTAAGTAGCACCGCAGTGCACGAGGCGGTTAGCTAAAGTAGCAGCTAAACATTACCAAGTCAAATAACTTCAGTAAACATTATATCCGGCTACCTACACCTTTAACTCCCAATACTTCGCTTTCAGGTTCATGGCGTAAAATTATTGTTCCTTCAATACAGCGCAGAAAAAGCTTGTTTTTCTCCCATACTTGTTTACTTGTGTGGAGCGGTTTACCCGGCGTTTCCGGAAAATGTTGGACAACCAAAACAGAACCCAGCGTCCAAAGTCTGTCTAGGAGTTTCCAGGTATAGTCAGTGATAAAAGAGGAAGAGGTCCACGTTTGTATGAAAAACTACTTTCTGATAACCGTTGTTGGGTTTAATTGTTAGCGATTGAAGTTAGACCATTTTATAATATGGACTTCACTCTGCAGCGTAGCTACAGCTGTAGGATTAATTTTGTGAACTAAAAATAGATTATTTAACTAAGAAATGTAATCACATTAATACATTTTGAACTGAAATAGGACTATCAGCCTACATTCAGTCAAGCGTAATCCTAATTAGAGGTTAACTATAAAGGTCTAGTGTTATATTACAATCAATGTAATAAATAAATAACTAAAAAAAAGAAGTGCACCCTTTGTCAATTATAAGGCTTTACATATCAAGACATAATAAAAGACTCAAGAAGTTTATTGTCATTTTGTATGATGTTACCCAGCCTGAAACGAAATACGGTTTCTCACCAGCCTCCACAGTGCAATAAGCAATACAGTTTAAACAGAATAAACAGATTAAAAATAATAAGTTTAAAAAGAGCAGATAAAAGGCAGTAATGAATTGCAACAATAGTTATGGATAATAATAGCATAAAATCAAAGTTCTAAAACAAACTCAAGTGACATTCGTTCGGATGGATAGCAGCAGTCCATTCACTGAAGGGGATGGTTAAATTAGGTAGTGTGAGTATCTGAGGAGTGTATTGTATGTGTGTACGGGTGTGTTTGTGTGCGTGCGTGTGTAGACAGGGACAACACCGCTTGTGGATCTTACAGTGTAGCTGTGTGAATGGCTGTGTGGGTGGGGAGGGGGCACAGTCCATTTATCAGAAAGCTTATCAGGTCTTAAGATAAAATATAAATACAATGAGATGAGTAACACGTGACTTATTACACTGTCATTATTTATTTTTTATTTAAAAAAAAAAAACTAAACCAAGAATTTTGTGGAAAAACTAATAACGCCACATGATTCAGAAGTCTCTCACATGATTGTGGAGGAATTTTGACTCACCATTTGCAGTATTTACAATATTCCTTCAGTTCATTTGAGGGTTGCACATTTTCAGCTGTGCACAGCTCTTAAGGTCCCACCAGAGGATTTCAATCAGGTTTATGTCTGGACTTTAGCTGTGCCATTGCAACGCCTTAATTCAGAGGAGGGGGTCTCAGTCATCCTGTCATGCTCTACAAATTTTGTTAGTCTTGCAATTATCTTACATCACTGCACATAGCAGAGAACAATAAACAATCAAAATTTAACCTAAATGTTGCGCTGAAAAAGTATACCAGCTGCAGCTCCCCTGCTTCCCACAGCCTTGCCTTGATGCTTTTCTTCAGAAAGTGCCAAACATCTCCACTGTGGTTTTTATCTGTCCAAAGGACATTAAACCAGCAAACCAGAACTTCTGCTTTTATAGAGGTTTCTCACTTGCTGATTATCAGTTTGCATCTGGCTGCTTCTTACCATCTTAATTCTGATGTAAGTAGTTGGAGTGCACACGATAATCTATTATAAAAATACTAAATTTGTGATGTTCTTAAACATAAAAATGATTTGATGTGCACACCGAAAATAAGTTGTATGCACCTGATGATTTACTATAATATTTTTGTAATAGACAGATGTCAGCTACACAGCTTGCTTATTGCTCTTGCTTTAAACGTTAAAACTGATTTATCATAAGCACAAATCATCTGCTGCTCAGGCTGTGCATTGTGTGGATTAGCACATCTTTCATATGCAGCAAATGGTGTCTGTACGTGAAAGAAGCCAGGTGTAGTGTTTGTAAATATTAAATATCTCACGATATTTCTATGACAAATAACTTTAAAAGCACATGGACTGTGGGGACTTAAGGGGCTCCGCCTTGGGGACTCTGATTCACCACTTCTGTATTCCTAAAGTCCTGGTACAGCCCTGCTCACACGAGCTGCTGCACGTGCGTGTGCGTTCAAAGCGCTCCAGCAGCTTTCCAGCGCGCAGGTGCTGAAAGTATCAGAGAGGAGCCTCTGACCTGCCACCGCGCACAACTTTAGTTTTTCAGTTTCCAGGTTGGTTTAAAATGTTGCAACCTCCACAATAACCGCACCCAGAAGCAGAAGTCCAACAGATCTCCAAGCATTTTCCACACTTAGACAAAAGTCTGTGATGGAAGTGCATTTTGGACAGGCTCCGCTCACCGTTATGCACAGTAAGTAGCCTAATGATGTTTCCTAGTGAGGGACTTTACCAGCACCGTAGCCCAGACTAAGTTATAGTGTTACCTCTTTAACTTTAAGTAGTACGCGGCAGTCGCATAAATGGGTGGTCCAAAGTATAGCACAATTTAACTGATGTTTCTTCATCCGCTCCGGTGCTCAGGGCACGGTGGAGTCAATCAGCTTGGCGGTGTCTTCATTAACGGCCGCCCGTTACCTCACGTGGTGAGACAGCACATCGTGGAGCTCGCGCAACAGGGCGTGCGTCCCTGTGAGATCTCCCGCCGCCTGCGCGTCAGTCACGGCTGCGTCAGCAAAATACTGGCCAGGTAAACGGAGTCTGTAATGTACGAAGGAGCATCAGGGCCACGTGATTGTTAATCAATGTCAGATTGAAATATAAAGATTGACGCCTTTTATATAATGCTTTATATAGTGAAATCGTACTTCATAATTAGTTTTATTAACCCTTGTTAATAAAACTAATTATGAAGTACGATTGTGTCTTTTTTTTAGCTCATGAACGCAGTTTGCTGATATGTGATGAGGGCGCTGAAGAGCTGAAAGCTGCATTTGGTCAAAAAGAAAAAACACGAGCTTGGAAGAGTAAAATAAAAACAGCTGGTAATGGAAAGGTGTACGGATACCGATGGTTAGAGGGCATATGTTGTATCACAAGACGCAAGAAGACAGCTGATCAAGTTGTTTCACTAACTCATCTACACAGCCTAGGAGCTGGATTGGATTTATATAGCCCAAAGCGCTTTACAATGCCAATATTCATTCAGTCACTGGTGGAGGAAAGCTACGGTCGTAGCCACAGCTGCCCTGGGGTAGACTGACAGAGGCAAGGCTGCCATATCGCGCCATCGGCCCCTCTGGCCAACACCAGTAGGCGGTAGTCTTGCCCAAGGACACAACGACCAGGACAGAGAGCCCGGTGATCGAACCGGCGACCTTCCGGTTACAGATACACTTCCCAACCCCCTGAGCCACGGTCGCCCGTTTGACTTGAAACAACTGTTATTTGACTTGAAACAACTATTTGTTTTATTTAGTAGTGTTAGTAGTGATGTCTGCTTGGCTGTTTTACCACTTTTCCAAAAGCAAAGTGTATCAATTGAATATGAAAACCACATATTTTAAACAATTTTTTTAGCTTATTTGTAAAACTTGTCATTATCTTTTTAATCTATTGCATGCCCTACTTATATTAATGCAAATATTTTGTGTGAGCACGCTAGTGAGTGTAATTTCTTTGTGATGCTGTGATATTTTGTTGTTGCTTTTTTAAGCTTTAAGCTGGACTGTTAAACTTCTTGGTTTTTCTCACTTCATTACAGCTTGAGGTTTTTATGGAAAATGTAAAAAAAAAAATATTACAATAGCTGATTAAAGGTGAAAATCCTTGAAAGGTGACTTTTTTATGTGGTTGTTATACAGCATTGCTTTCAGGTAAAATGTTAGCCCAACTGATAGATATTGACATTGTTTGTTCAGGTACAATGAGACAGGAAGCATCAGACCCGGACTGATCGGGGGCTCTAAGCCCAAAGTGGCCACTCCCCAAGTTGTGCAAAAGATCCTCCAACTGAAACACCACAACCCCACCATGTTCGCCTGGGAGATTCGAGACAGGCTGCTGCTGGAGCAAGTGTGTGACCAGAACAGTGTGCCCAGCATCAGCTCCATCAACAGGTACAGTGTGTGAACTCACGTGTGTCTGACTACACAGATTTTAAAAGTGAAGAAAAACGTTGAGTGAGTTATTTCTGTCCTCACAGAATCATCAGGAAGAAAGTTCAGTCCGAATCTTGTGAAGCTGGTAAGACTGTTTCTTTTACCCTCTAGTGCTCTCACAAATGTTTAATGACACTAAACCTCTGCCTCTGCAGTGTCCTCAGCATCATCAGTTGCCATGGGAACAGCCTGTTCCTCCCCAACCAGCTTTTCCATCAGTGGGATTCTGGGAATCTCAAAATATAGCTGCAAGATACCAGAAGGTAATGTAATCTGTGAGCATGATCTGCAATTGTTCATGTTGAAAGTTCAGGCTCACAAGTATTCTATTAATTTCTATATTTTCACTTCTACTACCAATTTCTACACTCGATTGCTTTATCTGCTGTTAGCAGCTCTCCATTTTTGTCAGACATTATTAAGGAGCAACTCCTGCAGCATCACATGTAAGTCCAGAGAAAGGGAAATGGGTGGCTGCTCAGTGTCAATGGAGCAAAGATTTTGGGAGATGGTGTAGCGATTCAGTTGCTCATAGAGGTTGTGAGACACAAAATCTCAAAGGAACTTGAGCAGGGGATGCTCCAGGGATATGAATCTTAATGCTACAGAAAAGATTCTGTTATAATCGTTCAAACAAAAGGTGAAAAAAGCAACAGAAAGAAAGGAGAATTAATGACAGAAATGAGAGATGCTGCAAGAGGTTGAAATAAACCCCAACACTGAAAAAGGTTGTAGGTGAATATCTGGACCCAGGAAGCTTTAGTTTAAATAGAAGATAATAGAATATAAGGTCAAGTCCAGGATACACCGTAGTTTGTTAGCCATCATGGATGGGCAGGTAGTAAACAACCATGAACTGCAAGAGATTGAGCTCCAACTCTTCATACAAGTGCATTTTAATAAAAAACAAAAAAACATGAGTTTTGTTTTTGTTAATTTTGAGAAAACTGGAAGATAATCAGATCCTGAGGTCACAGAAGCAGTTAGTGATGTCTGGCAGACAGTTTGTGGTGATGTGGAGCTGAGAGAAAGTTTAGGCTATGCTTGCATATATTTTTTCTAAGTGCTATTGAGCCCTGGGAAACACATTTGGTGACAGAGATTAGAAGAGAGGAGAAACTCTTAAACTGTTATTATCGTGTTTCATATTGAGTCATACAATCTTCTCATCTGATTGTAGTCATGTTGGTGTCACAAATCTAGAAACGTTCATATCTGCTCATGAGCTGGTGCCTCTGGAGCTTGCAGACACTAGCTGGATAACTGGTGAAGAATGTAAAGTTTCTCTTTTTAAGCAAATCTGCACATTGTTCAGATGTCTTTGATAGTCCTATTTTTAATACCTTTCCAACAAGTTTTTTTCTTGATGCACCTTTTTAAAAATACATATATATTTTAAAGTCATACCAAGAAAACATAATTTCTGCAAGAAAAGTCAAACACATTGTTTGAAATTGCATCCTTAAGATAGACAAACTTCACTGGCCATTTCTTTTTCTACTGTAAGAGCTCACACACATGGATGTATTTACAGAGGAGGTTCAGGGTTTAGAGCCTATTCTTCTCCGCAGCTTGTGACCACATGGCAGACTGATGTGAAAAGCCAGCGGTCTTATGTTAATATTAGTCTGACTAAAACAACCTCCGCGGCAGGAGGTCCACCTCAGCTCCCCAGGCTTCTGTCCTCAAAGCCAGCAGGTTCTCTGCTCCTCGCTGCCTCCTTCTCACCTTGGCCTCTCATTACAGGCCCATACACCCTCACATCTCCATCACTGCGAGCATTAGAAGAGGAGATTGCATGGAAAAATATGCATAGTTACCCCTGGAAACGCAGGCATGCATGTGTTTCATCATTCGTCTAATTAGCACAAGTGAAGATAGAAATGGAGACAGGAAGGGAAATAAAAGAGAACCTGAGCTGGAACTGTTTTGTTTTCCAGCAGGGGACATCTCTTGCAGCGTGTACCAAGACCAGCCGTGTTCATGTTATGACACCTGGGGACAGCCGGACCCCTGCATGATCTCTCTGTCCAGCTTGACCTCTTATACAAGCCTGCCAGCTAATCGTAATCCAGACGTGATGGGTCAGTATTTACTGAATTATGATCACTTATCTCTCATATGAGGTCAGCTTTGATGTGTCTTTCTCTGTCTCATACATCCTCTTGTTTAGGACCTTCGTGTCAGTGCAGCTGAATAAGGAGCCCTGAGAAGAAAAAATATCACCGCTTTAGTGCCACAAACAGGATGACTGCAGAACTCGTTTAACTGTAATTCTATTTATTACTATCACCGAGATAGAAATCTGGATCATAATCGAAAACATGTGGAAATAAAACTAAGATAACAAGCCTCACCTTTCATGTTTTATTCACATTATTTGAAGCAAAGAACAGCCTAATAGAGCTTCATCAGTCCAACATATTATCCCCCATCCCTGTCGCCCCTGTGGCCACTTTCTCCTCTGTCAGTGGTATAGGGTTAGCATCATTAGGGGCCTCATGATGGAGAGCAGAGACTGCTTTCTCTCCTTTGTGTGCATCTCCCTGGCCTCCCCTCCAGGATGAGGGATTAAAGTAGAAGATGGGAGCTGCTAGAAGGAGCAGTGGGGTCAAAAAAAAAGAAACACCGCTGAGAAAGAAATCTGCTCAGCAGTAGACATCAATCTGCATGAAGCATGTAGAGAATATTAACAGGATGACGAATGTGTTTTTGTTTTGGTTTTACTAAGTATATCTAGACACGTGCACAAATCCCTCATGCACCACAAAAAATTTATGAAGCACCATGGCAACATCTGTGTGCAAATAATTCAGCATGTGACCACAATAAACCAAAGCTATCAAATCAGCTTCACCTTTAAACTTAGAAACCACAATTCTGTTTATAAAGCAACAACAATCACCTCAAGGTGCTTTATACTGTAAGATAAAGACCCCACAATAATACAGAAAAACCCCAACAATCAAGTACTTGGTGACAGTGGGAAGGAAAAACTCCCTTTTACCAGGAGGAAACCTCTGGCAGAACAAGCGATGGGACGGGCAGCTATCAGCTGGGCGTAAAATAAATGTTCATGACAGAAAAACTGAATGGTCAATAAACAAGGCCTGGTTTAGCTTACTGGTGGAGCAGCTGCCCGATTTGTGTTCTTTGCTGTATGTCAAATATCAAATAAAGGCAAAAAAAACCCCCAAATAATCCTAAATGAAGGTCAATAAGCAAAAAAGTGGCCCTCTTCCTCAGATTTTATATGCCCTGGACGGGCATATAATAAGTGCTATAGATACAGGTTAGACAGAAATACAGTACAAAGTAAAAAATGACAGGAACATGGAATAAATTCCCAGATTTATTGGATAGGTGAAATATGCCCTCAATCATTACACATGCTTAAAACTCAATTGGATACCAGATTTTCAGATGTATCTTGGAACGCAGCTCTTCTTCTCCCTGTACTAGTCACAGGCTAGTTGTCCACCAGTGTCAATGCGTTAAGCTGAATTAGCAAAAATATACCCTCATTTGGACCCGATATGTAGCGCATGTAAATCACCTCCCGGTACTTTAATCCAGATATTTTAGTCAGACCCTGACCTCAGTGCATTCTGGTGTTCCATATTTAAATCACTCAGGGAGGCTTTAAACACACCAACTGAGCCCAGTCCTATGATTGCCATATTTAGTGTGAAACCTGGTCTAAAAACATCCATAATACTCTTTCTTTTGATTGCCTGTTAGCCCATCATCTTGTTCTTTAAAACGGGAAAGATTACCTCCACCACCCCTTGCCAGGTGGATGAGGGACACCATGTTCCATTTGAAGTGAGAAAGGGTTAAATACAATACTGTTCAAAAGTCTTCAGTCACCATTCGTTTATTCATATTTTGCTAGGAAAATGGAAAATGGGTGTCTTTGTTCAGTTCTCTGTTGAGATAATCTCATTCTGCTTCACTAATGTTAAAGTCTGGGCTCTGGGGAGGCCAATCCATGACTGATCATGTTCTAGTGTGCATGTGTGTGTTTGTATCCAAGTATAATTCTACTGCACTGACAGTATGTTTGGGATCATTGCAATACGGAAAAAAGAAGCAGCTATCAATCAGCTGCTTTTGAGATGGTATTGTATGGTGGATTTAAATTTGGTGGCACTTTTCTGCATTCATAATTCCATCAGTTGTGATAAAATCCCATATTTGGCATAGCTCAACCTTTTTTCCCTGTTTCCCTTCTAGCTTCTTGACTGCCGCTCTTCCACTGAGACCCTTTCTGATGAGGTTTCAATGAACAGCGAGAGAGAACAAATCGTGTATTTTTTGTGACAAACTGCTAATAAAAATAGGTAAAATTGGTTCTTTTCTAAGTCCTTGTGTAGACACAAGACTTTTTCATCCCTTGAGTTTGGTGTCTTTTTTTATACTTGAATGATTGAAAATTCCTCTCAAAATGGAAGGACTGAAAATGAGCTTGCATCAGTAGAGGGCAGCACTTCTGTGAGTAGTTTGTCTTGTAAAGTGACTCTGTACCAAGGATGCATTAACAGAGCTAGTAATGCATCCACACCCACTTCTTATCATAACAGCACAGCTCCGGAAACACTTCAAGCTAAAACTCATTAAGGCAAATCACTCAGAAGAGCATTAACACTTGATGGGATTATGAGACAGTGGAACAAATGCAAAGGCAGACAACTCAAAGAAGGCTCTTATTTTAGGGTTCTGATCACTTTGTTATGATACAATAGCAGCCAGTGTCTTAATCAAGCCGGTTACTATAGTGACTGTAATCCAGTGTCACTAATTCCAGATGTGTCTCAAGAGGTTTTACCGTCTGTACAGGTTCTTTAACCCGTTTGGATCAGGAAAAAGGAAGAACAAACCTTAAGAAGGCTTATAAACATAATAGCTGAAAAGCTAATAATTCTATCTAACATCCTTGACTTTTAATGGTTGAGCTTTGTTAATGAATTTGTCAGTTTTACCTGCTCATCTTGGTTCAGGTCATATATTGGGGGTTTTTTAAATACCTTTTTTTCTTTGCAATTACCAAATTTATTAAAAAGCCCTATTTAAACATTCCTGGCAGTGTGGCTAACAACTCTAAAGCAAAAATGCAGGAAGTGTCATGCAGACAGACACGTGCAAGTAATTCCTCTAAAACACATTTTAGCTGAACAACTGCTCAAAGGTTTTAATGGCCGCCAATGTCACTGCCTGCTATCATACTGGTAAATGTCAGGGTAAAAGGTTAAAATGCTGCTTGGCATCAGTTAAACATTAACCATGTTCACCACAGATTGAATGCACTTGGAAAACAATGATGCTTTTCTTACCTCCCAAAATCCCAGACAATCTGAAGTAAGAGCCTTCTGCTGGTGTGATTAGCTGCACCTGAGAGTGTTACATGTAACCTTTATGTAACGGTTCATAAACTGTAACAAGTACCGTAGACACACTTCTACTGAACTCATTAATACAGGCCGTTTAGTGGTAACTGCTACATTACTACTGCTGAGGATAATACGATGTATTGAAAATGTATAGCTAACACTGTTATTTCTGTTATCTGCTACACAATATCGAACTATTTATTTATCTAGCTAGCATCACTGAATTTTAAGTAGTGATGCAGGTTTCAGCAATTTACTTTTTCTTTTTTTTTAAGTTTTCAATCTAATTTTGCCCTTGTCCTTTACACCTTAAAATATATTGACACCATCTTCTAGTCAAGTTTAAACCATTCATGTATGTATTCTGTGTATTGTATATTTTCAACTTTGTGATAAATCTGTCTTAGTACATGGCGCCGTGCCAGCTCTCACACGACAAATCCTGCTGAATGTTTTTAAACAAGTGTTGCTTATCTTCTTTAATCGTGTGTTCAATCTAAATATTACGCTGACTTGCAATATTAAGAGCTTGTGCGTGCGTGTGTATGTGTGAATTCCTCAGAATCTGTTTGCAGTCCCATTTACACCTGAATTTAATTCTAGGTAAGAATTTATTATGTTTAAAGTTAAGATAAATCTCCAAGAAATAAGTGAAGTTAACTGAAATAATCTTTGATCTGATGTGAACGTGTGTGTGTGTGTGTGTGTGTGCATATTTTATTGTGGTGTAAAGCTTTTTAGGGATATGCTCAGGTCCAAAGTACAAAAGCACAAGTTAGTATGAGAGTTCTTATAACACCAGCTACTTCCTTCTTTATATATTTACTAACATTTCCTCATTCTGAGGGAGAGGACAGTGCTGAGGCTGAAGTTGGGGGAAAGAAAGGCTTATCTTTGTACATTTATGGCCTCGTGATCAAAACTCTCATATTCTGGACGCCTAGTCTCAATTCATACCCGTTATCAGAGCCTCATAAGGAAACAAAATCAGAACAAAGCTTTTCCAGGACTCAGCAGTTCGCCCTTGAATAGTGACTGCACTGTAAGACATAAACTGAGCCAAACCAGGGCAGAAGAAGACGTTGACTTGAGAGACTACTGGACAATGTCAGTGCCCCCCAGAGTTGTCCACAAGAGGAGGGAGACGATCACAGCCCTGCCTCTCTACTACTCCGGACACCTGCTGAAGAAACACAGTAAAGACAAGGTAAGAACGAATATGGGGAATAAACACGAGGAAATGTAAATAATTAAGACCAAACAAACCAAACAAAAGCTGCAAAAGTGTAACAAAAGTAAGGACTCATAATGGAGAATTAGCTTTGTCGGCCTGTTACTAAATCACTTACTGACTGACAGTATTTTAATGCTGTAGGTCAGAGAGTTGGGTCTTACTGCACTGCACTGTAATGTTGGTTGCTGAGTACAAGCTACATATCTGATTATTAATCCGCTAGATTACATAAATTTGTGTAGCATAATCTGATTACTCTTGGACTACTTTAAAAAGTGGAGACAAAGCAAATTTTGTGTTACTCAACATCAAAAAACATAAAAATGTTCTATGTCTGTACTCTTCATGCAGTCATGACTTTCAGCAGACACACAGTGCTGTGGTACACATAAACTATGTAGGACACATTTTTATGAGTTTGTTTTATTGGTTATCGAAAAGGTTTTATAACTGTAAAATATTTTAATGGCATGAAAAATGTAGAGAAGCAATTTTTGACATTATTATTCAAATGTAATCTGGGCTGACTGTAGTTGTTTCAATCTGATGTAAACTGTTACTGCCTTATTGTGGAGAGGGGACTAAATTTACCCACCTTTTATCACCGGTGGGTGAGTAGCTCGGCTCTGACGGTGCATCATATTTTATAATGGTAATCCAACAATAAATATACAAGACATAGAGGTCTGTATGTAAATACCTCATCTGTAAATTATCTTACAGCCTTTAGATACGTGTAAATACAATCATGTGACAAAGAGCATTTTTGAAAAAGCTACATCCTTACTGTTTCCACAGGAGTTAAGAGGGTAAGAGGCAGCCATGGGCTGTTAATCAAATGTACTTGATGAACTGATCACCAGCAAGAGTTTTAGCAGTTTGCTAGTCTGGACCATTCTGGTGTGTTTTAAGACAATCTACCCAGGGTCAATGTCTCATCAAGATCAGAAAAATTTCAACAACAACCAAGAGCTACATTTCAGACTCTACAGGCCTCAGTTAGCGTGTTAAATGTTAAAGTTTACACCAGAACAGTTAGAAAAAGACTGAACAAGTAGTGCATTTTTGGAAGGGTTGCCAGCAGAAAGCCTCTGTTCTCACTAAAGCAAACATGGCAGCACAGCTTTGATCCGCAAGGTTGCATCTGAACAAACCACGAGACTTCTGAAACATCGTCCTTTAGACAGATGAGACCAAAGTAGAAATGTTTGGAGATAATGTACAGCAACACGTTTGGAAAAAACAAACACAACATATCAGCACAAACACCTGATACCGATTGCAAACATGGCGGTAAAGGTATCTGCAAAGTTCACAGGCCCTGTGAACTTTGCAGATACTGAGTTGACTGTGAATCTCTCTGTATACTAAATATACAAATGTGAGGCCATCTGTCTGACAGCTAAAACGTGGCAAAAGTGGGTCATGCAACTACACAATGGAGAGCACCAAATCTACTAAAGAATGGCTGAAAAGAGAAAAGAATCAAGATGCTGCAGTAGCTCAGTCAAAGTCCAGATAGCAACTAGATACCAAATCAGGAAGTGTGCATAGTTTTCCACATGACTGCGTAGCTGAAAAACTGAAACAGGTCAAGTGTAAGTAGTTTAAGTGTGATGCCTGATATGTTCATCAAATGACTTTCAGGATTTCAAGAAATACTATGGAGAGCTCCGTGGGTGTTCGCTGTTTCTGTACAAGGATGACACACAGGATACCGTAAGCAAACACCTATGTTTGTTCACATTGTGCGCTTGACTTAATCACTGAATCATCTTTTGAAAATATGTGGAGTGTTTAATTCCAAGAATTAGGAAGTAGCTTTGAGGGGCAATAAGGAAGTGCTGGGAGCACTGACCTGATTTCTTTCTCAGTATACAGAGAAGTTGGACCTGGACCAGCTGAAGTCGATGGAGTCAGACTCTCCATATCAGAAGAAGGAACCCACTGTGTTCACTCTCAGCCTCAGCACAGAGAAGGTGCAACTTAAGGTCTGTTGTGATAAAACTCACTTCAAATGATCCAATTACATCTAATATCTAATCTTATAATTAATCACTGGATGGATCAATACTATACATCACACCAGCTTTTTATCAACTGTGTGTGTGTGTGTGTGTGTGTGTGTGTGTGTGTGTGTGTGTGTGTGTGTGTGTAGATGGACAGTGCAGACATGGGAGAGGTGTGGAGGGGTTTCATCCTGACTGTGGTCAAGGTGAGCAAACACACACCGATCTAATTGATTCAGCACAATTATTTCCATTTATACAGGATATTACACACACACAGTGATGTAGACAGTGGTATTTAAATAATGTTCACCTGGTACAGATAAAGTCTGAAGTCCTTCGCATTATTACTGCACAGCAGAAATCGAGACCCAGGCAACATTTTTCTGTTCAGTGATGATGACCCTCAGTTTCTTGTTTGTAGCTGAACGCCTGGTGTTGTCTTTTGTGATTGGATGTGTTGTGCATTCAAAGATGCTCTTCTGCCTTAGTTGTAATGAGCCGTCAGGTATATGGTAAAATCCCAAAAGATCAGCAGTTTCTGAAATAATCAGACCTGCCCATTCAGCACCAACAGCAAAGGCCGAGTCACTTAAATCACCTTTTTTCCTTCTCAGTTTGAACTTCACCAGGTTATCTTGACTGTGTCCACATGCCTAAAATGTGCTGAGTTGCTGCCATTTGATTGGCTGATTAGATATTGGTGTAAATGAGCAAGGTGCCAGATAAAGTGGCCAGTGAATAAACGTTTATATATTTTTAAAATATATCAGGATATATTTTTGAACATGTTACAGATGATCTGAATGGTACTGAGGTCGAGCTCGTGTTTCCTTGCAGAAGGAGCTTCCCAGTAAGCTGCAGCTGATGCCTGGCCAGGTGTTACAGCTGAAGGAGGTTCTCGCTCAGGAAATAAAAAGAAAATCCCCATCGTCACGTCCACCGCTCCCACCTCGACCAGGTTTCCTCTCAGGCCCGCCATCCAAAGACAAACTGAGCTCTGAGATTGCTGAGTAAGCACTGTCTGCTGTTTGTGTAAACACTGATCATTTGTAGGTTCAGAAAATTCGCAGATAGACTTTAAAAAGTGCTTCAAAACAGTTAAAATACAATAAAATAAAAGTGTGCCTCCTTGTTTTTCCTTTGAATCCTGTAGGTGTTTCTTTGATGTGACTCGAAAGGAGGCTGAGAAGATGCTAGAGGAAAACCCAGAGTGTGGAAGCATCATCCTTCGCCCGTCCACCATGCCCAACAACTACGCCTTGACCCTCAGACAAGTGTCATCCAGGTCTGCTAATCTATTCAAACCACTGATATACACCACTGAATGCAGAATACCTGCTCATAAATGACTATTGAATTTTAACCATTAATCTTTTTGTATTATAAATTTTCTCCTGTACTGACTGATTTCATCAGCACATCAGCTATAAATGTCTTGTTTTATATCTCTTACAATAATATATATTACTGAGTTTTAGAACTATTTTAATATTGTTCCTGCTAATTTCGTAATGTGACGTGAGTTTGAGTGCTTTGAAAGACGCCAACAAACAATTTATTCACCTTATTATTATTATTACTGGTAAGTCTGACACATTGACACAGAGAATGAAGTGTTCACCCGGAACTAACTGGCGATAAAAACAGTATTGAGTGGGACAGACAGAAAGTGGAACGTAATATGAACTTTGCTCAGTGAAAGCCTATTGAGCAAAAACACACTGTGAAGAATTTAACTGTAATCTAATCATCACAACGTTTCTTCTGTTTCAGCGGGCCTGTAATGAAGAATTACAGAGTGACCCAAATAAACGCCGGATTTGTGATTGAACTGGAGACACCAGTGAGTCCTTACTGGCTCTCACAGCTTCTCACCAATCAGAATATATTTCAGCTATAGGACACATTTACACATAAAGTTCCTTCAAAGCCACAGGAGCACAAGTGACTCAAAGAAGAATCATGAGCGTGTAGTGAGTGAAATTAGAGGCGGACAGATCAATCGTGTTGTTAACGATACTGGTTTTGGATCAACACTTTAGTAAGTTGTTAGAAGACATTTACCTGATGGCATTAACACATAATCAAAACACAATGCCGAAACCAGGGATTGAACCAGGGACCTTCAGATCTTCAGTCTGACGCTCTCCCAACTGAGCTATTTCGGCACTGGAGTGCCATTATGATGCATGCTCAATCATCCAGGTAAGTAAATCTCCAAAAGTTGATTCTGTTCATCTGTTCATCAGTACATTTGCATGGTTTCAGTCATTATGCAATGTCATGTTTATAAGATTGGGGAAACCTGCAGTCAGCTAAGACTGAAAAAGTCACTTGGATGAGTGACGAAACGATTCTCCCACAAAACGTCACGTTCATATGAACAGAATCAACTTTTGGAGAGCACTGGAGTATCACCAAGCATCCATGACTTGCACCAAAAAAGGCAAGTGATTCAGTAACTGACATCACCCAGGTGCTGCTGACCAACAGAGTGCCAGTGGAAACTGTACAACTGTTAGCACAAAGACAGAGGAAGAGGAAAAAGGGAAGGCATATGAGGAGGGAGCAGGAAAGAAGGAAGGGCAGGAATGTACATATGTGCAAATGCATTTCTCTTACTAAACCGTTTACTGGTTAAATAAGGGGAAATAAAAAGACTTTTCAACAGCATAAGATTAATTGCCAAGAACTACTGTTCCAATAAAGAAATTATTGATCAAACACGAATGTCCTTACTTTCTGTGCCAAGTAATTTTAACTGAGTAAATGACTTGAATTTGGTAGTCATGTGGGAGAGCACCAGACTGAACATCTGCTAAGAGGGCAGTATGTCCTCTCAGGCTTTTTTTTAAACATTTAACCATTTTAGATACAGGTCAGATTTAAAAGGCAGAGGTTGTGGTTCAGTTTTATGGTTTTATTAGGCCATTATCATCCTTTCTCTGATTAAATGTATAATGCCAAAACCCGAGATTGAACCAGGGGCCTTCAGATCTTCAGTCTGACGCTCTCCCAACTGAGCTATTTCGGCAATGCACTTCACATGGAGAATGAGAGCGAGCACTGTGACCCGTCACCTGACCAAAACAGTCAAATAATGCCACTTGGTCCAATCAGAGACATTATCAGTTGTTGATCAAATGATGACCAAAAACTCATATATAAAAGCAAAATGCACTTACAGAAAGGACACAGGATTAATAAATGCTGCAGAAAATCATTATGTGATTTATTGCATAGAGCAATAAAACTGCAGAGCTAATAAAGACTGAAGATCTGAGGGTCCTAGGTTCAAGTCCAGGTTTTGGCAATGTAGTACATTTCTGTGGAGCACAAAGTTCAGATTATTGCCAGTTTGCAAGTCTCAGCAGAACAGTGAAGCTTTACAGTGTTAAACAGGCCGCCTGTAATTATCGTTGTTTTATTATTATTTTATAAGCTGTAGAAGTGTCATAAAATCTGCTGTCTGTAATAGAGGAATGACAGATACTTCTGATAAATCAAAGGGGAGCATCATTAACAGAGTCTATCTTCTGCTTTTTTCCACACGTCCTCTGTAGGTGACCGTCAGCTCCCTGAAGGATGTTCTAAAATACTTCATTGAAAAAACTGAGTATCGGCTTTGTCCTTTCATTCCATCTCAGCCCTATGACACTTTGATCGGTGAGAGTACTGCTTTTAAAAATGGTTACAGTGAAGTGGGCAACTCCTAACCACCGATTGTGTTCAATAGAGGCGTCACCAGCTCCCAAGTGCCTCAACACAACCGCACGTGCACCTAAACCACTACCAAAGGCACAAGTGCCCCCTATGCTGCGGTCACGGACCAAAGAGGAGATTCTGCCAAACAAGCCTGATGAGGGAGAATATGTCATTCCTGATGATCCCAATGACTCCAGCCTGAATCTAGGTGAGCAGAGTGAATGTTGATTTAAAAACAAAACAAACAAGCAAACGGGCAGAAATCAAGGCAAATGTAAGAGCAAGTCTAAATGACTTGAATGCTTTTGTTTAAACCAGCTCAGTTGGATGATGAGCTCAGGAGAGCCCTAAAACAACGGAGAGAAAACATCTATGTTTCGACTGATGAGAAAGTCTCCCCCTATGAAACAAAACTGAATGGAAAAACAACAATCTAACACGGCACAGTGGACGACCGAGAAACCGACAGCGTGAAGTAGGGACTGGTGTAACCTGACAAGTATAACGTAAAACTTTTACCTACAGCTCAGAGATCACAATGTTCACGGTGAAAATGGCTAAATTCTGCTTTATTGAAACGAAATTTATACATTTTTCTCCAAGATGGGAGAGTTTGGACCGTTGCTTAAATATTGTGACCAAATGAGCGGACGGTGCTAGATGATCAAAAGGATTTCTGTGTTTATTTCAGTGACCACTAATATCTGCATCCGTCATTGCAATCCAGCTGAGGGGTGTCAATAAAAAAGCTGAACATTTCATCCCGTAGTCAGTCCCAAAAACTTTGTAAAAGATTAAATGTTTGTTCAAATCTTTGTACCTGTGGATGGATCCGTATTGGAACTTTTACACTGAGGGTTCACCAAAGTAATCAACCCCCTCGGGAACTTGGATGTTAATGAATGAAAAGTCATGCCCTGGATGTTTAGACTGGGCTGAGGGCGGCCATCAGCGACACCGCCACAGCTAAAGTAATAATACCAGAAGCAGGAGGGTCTGAACATGAGGATGAAACATGTTTGAGAGCCCGAGAATATTTTTAAAAAGCTTGGCCAATGCTAGATAAGATTTTCACATTGCAGAGTTGTAAGATTATCAGTGAACGTCTTTAATATGTTCTTGATGAAAGATTGTTTACATGTGCAACGTTGCATCACTGTACTCCATTTTTGTATTTTTAATAAGTTTTGTAAGAGTGAGCTTAAACGCTGTCACTGGGGTTGAATATGACTCCAACTCTGCTGAGTGCTTTCTTGATTTACTGATTGATTGATGACTATTTTCACAATACAAAAGTGATGACTCTGATGTCAAAAATCTCACGTAGGTGAAAACAATCAACTGCCAAAGTAACATGTTGCGGATTAGCTTTGGTTTTTGTCTCAGCTTCTGCCTGTTATTCATGTTTAAATGTGTAAAAAAAAAAAGAAAAAGAGAAAAGAAACAAAAGAAACAAAAGCTTAAAGCACTGTTGTTTATTTCGGATCAATGTATAATTAAATTGTAAATATAGAAAACTGATGTTTCTTCTTATTCTTTATTAATAAATTAAAAACAAACAAACAAAAAAACCCCACAGACACAATCCAGGATCATTGTTATTTTTTTTTTTATTTTCCACACACAGGAGTAAGCCAACATAAACTTTTGAAATGTTATAGTTTTATAAGTTATTCCATTAAGATTGCACTTTATTTTATTTTTTATCTTTATTGTGGATCATGTTATAGGTTTAAAGTTTAAGGATCATTCATTACTCAGTAAAGACAGCAAGACTGTGAAAAATATTCAATAAAAAAGAAAACCAAACACACTATCCCTTTTCGTCTCACTCCTTCACTATAGTGTTTATTTTTTGTTGTTTTTTTAAGAGTAGCGGTCTCTTCCTGTTTCACATTTCTTATATTCAGGTCCTTTACACTCTGTTGTAGCAGCCTTCGTGTGAGAAATACAAATAAAATGTCTGTAATAAGTTAACATCTCAGGATTTAAAAAATAAAACAGAATAAATAAGATGATTGTTCCCTAATGTAGACCTGCCTCCGCCTGCCCTTGTCGGTGTTACATTACTTTTCGGTGAGTGACAGCTGCAGGATCCTCTCCAGCTCCTCCTCCTCCTCCTTACGCTTCCTGTAGCAAAATAAGAAGTTCATCTGTCAGAACACTGACAGTATCATCACTTTAAGATGACTTTCTTCACAGGTTTAAGGCGTCTGAAAAGCTGTTCGGATCGTGTTACAAGTGTAATCTGAAGGTGAAGTGTCTTGCCCAAGGACACAACGACCGAGACTGTCCGAGCCAGGGCTCGAACCGGCAAACTTCCGGTTACAAGACGAACTGCCAACTCTTTGAGCCACGATCGCCCGATAGTGTGTTAAAGTAGTGTTAAATGTAAAGTGGTGTATTTGATATCCCCGTGTAGGTGTTCCTGCATCATCTTAACCCTTCAAAGCATGAATCACAAAATAATTGTCAGAAAATTCCAATTTTTTAACAATAGAGTATTTGGTGAATCTTCTGATGAAATTTAAAAAACATGAAATATTAATTTGCATATATGAGTTTAAATTTGTATCATATTTTATAATATTTTTTGCAATTTATTCCATACAAATATCTCCTGCAGTTTATTTGGGTTTTTCAGGGGGTGGGGTTAGGGAAGGGAGATCACACTTGTGATGTAATCTCAAAAACTCACTTAACAAATATGATTTGGCTTTAAAGGGATCAAGCACATTGTTGTGATGTCATAGCCTTGCAATGTGGGAGTGGGGGGTTTGTTTATATTAAGTTTTCCTCCACAACAAACAGTAAACATTTTAACTCTTTTCTTTAATCAGTTTGCACAAAAGAACATATTATCAACTTAGGTTTGCCATTAGCCAAATTTAGGTTACTCGTGTTTTAAAAGCATTAACTTCTTGGCTAATGCTGACTGAATGCTCCCTGGCCATTTGCGATGCTGATCCTGGAGCAACATTAGTATTGATGATGCAGGAACAACACCAACACACCAAAAGATTGAACAAATGTGGCTTGTTTGGAAGGACTGAAAGAAGAAAGCACATGGCAGTACAGCTTGGGTTTGCAAAGCTGCATCTGAACAAAGACTTTTGGAACAATGTCCTTTGGACAGATGAGTGGTGATGATCTGGGCTTGCTTTGCAGTCACAGGGCCAGGGCACCTTGTTGTCATTGAGTGGACTATGAACTCCTCTGTATACCAAAGTATTCTAGAGTCAAATGTGAGGCCATCTGTCACAACAGAATGGCTGACTCAACCTGATTGAAATGCTGTGGTAGGGCATTAAGAGAAACCCTGCGAACCTCGATGAACTGAAGCAATGCCGTAAAGAAGCGTGACGTGAGAGACTGATGTAGAAAATAATTAAGTCAAGTTATTTATACTGAAAGGTGTTTCTACAAGCTTCTCAATCACATGGTGTACTCCGTTTCTCACAGGACCATAGCTGAAAAAAAAAGTTGTCAATCTAAGAAAACTGCACAGTTCTTGCTGAAGCGCGCATGAATTATGAAAATCAAGAAATTTACTAATAAAAATGAATTTTTTGTTGAACAGGTGAATGTATTTAATCAGGTTACCACCCAAACGAAAGGCACCAAAAGCAACGTGACTTCACACCGAATTTGCAGCTCATTACCATCTGACACAAAGGAGGATGGAAGAGTAACTCACTGCTAAATGTGCATTAACTCAGCAGAGATGACTGAGGATGACCGACTGAAAACAATACACGAGTCTGAGTCGTTGTGAGTCCTAATCTGGGTCAGAATTTTTTTATTTTCACCTTTATTTCATAAAATTGTGTCCGTAGAAGTTCACAGGACTGCAGAATGGGAAGTGACCCCCCACAGCCCCCCACTGTTTTGCTCGATCAGTGGACTGAACCTTTCACTTCGGGCATTTAACATCTGATGAAATCCCTCGTGCTTCATAAAGACACTTTTAAACTGCCTGTATAGCTAGTAGTTTGCAGGTTCAATCGGGCCTCTTTGACAGCAGCTGAACTATGAGCCGCCATTAACACCAGAAATAATTAGACCGCTACAGCTAAAGGCTGATATAATAACATCAGATAAACTACTTTGCTATTTGGCTATGATAGCGCTGGGTAGCATTAATGGGGTGCTGACAAGCAGTATTTTATCCCTCATTATCTTCCTCTCCTTTTTTTCATATTTTATTTTTCAAGCTTAAAACATTTTTAATGTTTCCAGCCACGTGAGAGCAAGGAAACTTGTCTGTAGTGTCCCCCGCCTCTAGCCCAGTGACAGATGGATAACCCTGAATTAGATACGTGGTTATGAAAAAGGGTGGTTAGATGAATGGATGAATCCATCTGAATCCAACTGCTTCCCTAAGCAGGGAATAATTTGTCAGCATCATTTGTTTTTTGAGAGATTTTTGACACCTAAAGTGTCGCAGTTGTTGTTTGTCACACCATGCTGCCAAAATATGAGTTTGAGATGAAAGAGCAGAGGGCGGCACTCTCTGTGTGCACACTCCATTAAATTAAAACAAAAATAAAAAAGATGACTAATACTTTGTATGCTCTACAAATTCTAGCAGGTGTGAGAGGTTTTTTTGTTTGTTTGTTGTCGTTTCTTCCTTCTGTCTAACAATTATAGGTCATATAAACCCACAATTTCAGAAATGACTCATTTCCTCATCCATCTCGTCTCCACTCCCACCTGTCTATCTCCTCCTGCTCCCTGCAGGACAGCTCCATGGCAATCCGCAGCTGCTCGTCGAAGCTGGTCGCCACACCGTAGTGTGCGGATAAGCGCGGATCGGTCACTGTGCTGTAGGAGAGCGGGGAGTTGGCGGTGGGGTCCAACGGAGAGACAGAAGAGGGCTGGCTGGGGTCGGCCATCTCCTCTCCCTCTCTGCTGGCCAGTGAGATGGACAGAGACTCCTGGATCGCCCTGAGACGGGAGAGAAATGAGGACACCGTTAAATAACGACGGGTCTCTTAACAGAAGACTTTTCAAGCTGCGCTTCATTACAGGATAAATTTAAGCTGGTGCTCTCAGGAGAAGGTGGGAAGAAAAAGCTCATCACTGAACTCCATTTAGAAATGTGTAATTAAGTCACTTCACAAGCTAGGGATTTCCCTACATAACAACAAGGAAGATAAGTTAAAACTGTCTGATTTTTCTTTACAGTAACAACTACAAGAGAGTTTGTGAGGTCATAACCTTTTAACCAGACATTTCAAAAAGTGAGTGAAAAGTATATGATCAGTGCCATTTGTTTCCATAGTGAAGAGGAGGAGCACTGGCAAGAAAGAAGAGCCTGTTAAATTTGGTTGCAGAGGTGTTATCACTTTCTTAGAAAGTGTTAGTATTAAAGTTTAATACCAGATAAAACATATGGAGGATATCTACCTGCATGTCCTCAGATCTCTGGCTGTTT